TTAACCAATTTATAAAGGAATTGCCAAAGCCAAATTTATGTAGAGTAGCAAATAAAAATTTCCAGTTTACTCTATCGAATGCCTTTTCTGCATCTAAGGACAATATATAGGATTTAAGATTTTTGCTGTAGGAATAATCTATTAAATTCAGCAGTCTGCGTGTGTTAGCAGCTGACTGCCTCCCTTTAATGAAACCAGTTTGATCTGGGTGGATTATGAGAGGAGTGACTTTATCTAACCGTTTTGCTAAAGCTTTACAGATTATTTTAATATCCACATTAATTAAGGATATGGGACGATAGCTGGTCGGAAACATAGGATCTTTGCCTGGCTTAAGCAGGAGACTAATGGTGGCAGAATTCATATTAACTGGAAATTTGCCATTATCTAGAGTTTCCTGCAGCATTCTGTGGAACGTTGGGGCCAGAATGTTCCAGAACTCTTTATAGAACTCAGTAGGGAACCCGTCTGGACCTGGCGCTTTATTATTTGGCATGTTTTTTAATGCTTCCTGAACTTCAGCTGTAGACAGCGGTGAGTCCAAGGTCGCTCTTTGACTCTCTGATAATTTAGGAAGAGTTATTTTATCCAGAAATCGCTTGATATCATTATCTGATGGATTTAACTGTGATGTGTATAAAGATTTATAGAAATCTCGGAAGGCATTGTTAATATCCTCCGGATCCTGTAATGTATTACCAATTGAATCTGTAACTGCAAATATAGTTGTTTTTTCTTTGTTTATTTTTAGCTGGTTAGCTAAGAAGCTTCCTGACTTATTGCTATGTTCAAAGTCAATTCGAAGTCTCTGAATTAAAAATGTATTTTGTTTTTCAATAAATTCGTTTAGTTCTAGTTTTATTTTACGGATTTCCCCTAACTTTTCCTCATCTAGCGAGCTTTCTAGTAACTTTATTTTTCCCTCTAATTCCTGGATCTTTTTTTGTTCTAACTTTTTTTTATGAGATGAGAAATAAATAATTTTACCTCTCATCACTGCTTTCCCTGCTTCCCATAGTATAGATGCTGATGTTCCTGGTAAATCATTGCACACCAAGTATGATGCCCACTCTTCCTTGAAAAATTTGAGAAACTCTTCATCTTTAAGCAGTGATATATTTAATCTCCAGCTCTTGTTTTGTGGGGCTATTTTTTTATTTAATAGGGTTAAAGTAACAGGAGCATGATCACTGACAGCAATAGGATGGATTACAGCATCTGAGACATCAGACAGCAGCGAGCTGCTGATTAGGAAATAGTCCAGACGAGAGTAGGAATGATGGACATTGGAAAAGAAAGTGTATTCCTTACTGTTAGGATGAAGAGATCGCCATGCATCGCAAAGACCAAAATCACTCATGTATTGTTTGACTACGTTTAATGATTGCCAACTGCGCTGAGTCCCTGTTGTATTCAACCTGTCCATTTCTCCATTTAGACCAAAGTTGAGGTCACCCCCAATAATTAGAGAACAATCCCCGTGCTTTGAAAGTGCATGAAAAACTTTGTGGAAGAATGAGGGGTCGTCAACATTTGGACCATATATGCTGACAATACACAACTTTTGGTTATAAATAGATATTTTAATTATGATGAATCTGCCTTCAGGATCTATAATTTTGTCTAATAAAGTAAAACTGAGGTTTTTGTGGACTAAAATTGCTACCCCTCTCTGTCTGGAGTTATAGCAGGCTGCAAACACATCAGGGAACTCAGGGGAGTTAAGATCACTTATAGATGCCGCTGATTTATGGGTTTCTTGCAATAAGACAACATCTGCATTTAATCTTTTAAGCTGGTTAAAAATCTTAAGCTTTTTCTCTCTGGTGCCAGCTCCATGCACATTCCATGTCACAAACCTTACATTCACCATAGGTGTGAGTGAGAAGATGAAAAGTACATGCCTCTGAATAAATAGTTATACCTAGACCCAGGTAGCATCCAACCGTGTGCTTGTGATTGTGTGGACCACAGGGAAGAAGCAGACGAATAAGGAAAAGGAAGACAGAAAATTAAGAGAGTGCAATGAGTAAGAAAAGGTGAAAGAAGAAGAACCCCAGCCCATGCATTCTGTACCCAGCTGTAACTAGCAGTCATACCGTGCAAACGTGCTCTAGAGCTGTGCATATATTTCATTTATCACCGTGAGATGTTCTATACACTTTGATCAGGTGTCACATGCTTTTAAACCTGCCTGTTGTGCATCTAATAAAGCCAAGGAGTGATCTTCTGATCCCTGAACAACTGACCATTAATATAAAGTTTGCCAACTGCTACTGTAGCTCTGACACCTTCACTGATGTATTTCTTCCTGATTGGGAATAACGCTCGCCTGCTATCTAGTATTTCCTTTGGATACTGGTCATTAACGCTGAAATCTGTTCCTCTCAGCTCTCTGCCCTGACTCCTGACCTGCTCTTTCTGCTTGTAATGCTCAAACTTAGCTACAATTGGTCTAGGACGGGATTTATCAGGCTTCTTACCTCCGAGCCGGTGAACGCGATGGAAGGTGATGTTTTTTACCTGGTCCGCCGGGATTTTCAGCTTCTTCTGGAGGAACTCACGTACTATCGTCTCAGGGTCCTCGTCCTGCTGTTCAGCGATTCCAGCGAAGACGAGATTGTCTCTCATGCTCCACGACTGAATGTCCAGAATGGATTCCTTCATCTTTCTATTTTCGCCGGACAGCTGGATCATCCCCTCGGCGAGTTTGGTGACTTCCCCCTTCAGCGCTTCATTCTCGGCGGTGACGGAGGCCAGCTGAGCTTGGCTGAATTCCAGCGACTCTCTCAAAGCTTGAAACTCCTTATGCAGGACTTCTACCAGGGCAAGGCGGGCGTCCAAGCTAGTTAGCTTTTTGTCGATGGATTCCAGGACGTCGCCGTAGCTCCTGTCTGGAGACAAAGTAGATGTAGAAGCAGCACTGGCTGAACTAGACCGACATTGTTTGGTAGACGGTGTGTTTGTGGATGTGGGATTCTTCGGTTTCCCCATTACGATGTTGTCAAAACACTCGTCCAGGTAGCTCTCCAGGCTCGTCAAGGTCTCGTCTTCCAGTTTGTTCCCTCGGAAATACGGTACAATTGTCAAAGTTTAAATCTGCTTGTTTTATTTACATTTATTGGCTTACTTACCAGGACTGGAATTGTTTGTTTTGAATTACCTGTATGTCGCCATTTTTACTTACGCACACGCCCACAGCTCTCGCGAGATCTCAGCCGCTCATCTTCATTTCACCTTGTTTACTTTAGTTAATACTGTGTGAAAGGTTCCTGTTGGTGCAGTGTTCAAAGGTATGTATGTACAGCATTCGGTACCAATAAGATGACAAACTCCTCCCATTTTGGCTAAGATATAATCTAAAGCTTGTCTATTTTGAATTGCCATTCTACTGGTCTCATATAATTGGTCACCTAATGCCACAACTCCCTCTATTGTAAAGTTAACCATTCTCTGTTGATTATAGTAAACATAGTTTATCCATTCAAGGTTTTTATTAATTGCAACCCAAGGTACAATGGATTTTAGTCCTGCAAGGACCTCATGTCGTGCTTTAAATTCAGTTGGGATACATCTAGGCTGTCCAGTTAAATCCAGATAAACCTCTTCATTGAGTCCATAATTCTGTATGCTTCTACAAGATCTTGTTTCATTACCTTCTAACCCAATTAAATCCTTAACTCCTTCATACACTATGGTAATGGGTTACCCACTTAAGGGGTTAGGTGTTTACCAAAATATCATCACCGCAAATGCAGTAACTGTCTGCTACTGGGTATGTTTGATCTTCCTAATAAAAAAAGAGTGCTTAAGGGCTCGGCTCCCATCTGCTTTAACCTTCTAGCAAAGGCTTATGTCACAACTCGGTCACTTCAGTCTGCAATGGATTGGCGTCTAGCAGTGCCTACACTTCGCCTGAAGACAATCCAAGACCTACCAAGCACTACAAGAACAGCAGTGGCCCTTTCTATAATCAGGAAACTGCTAAAGACCAACCTCTTCAAAGAGCATCTCCTATCCTAACTCATACCCATAGCTCTATACCTCTCTACGGCTCTGTCTGTACTTCCCTCTCTCTCTTTGCTAAACTTCACTATTCCTTCTAAACCTTATTCACCCCCAACCAAAAAATCCATTAAGCCCCTACCCATCTTCATATAGCTCTTTTCTGAGGTCTTAACCTTGTTCTCTGTTTAATATGTGGCACTTTCACATGTAATTTCAATAAAATTGTACCTCCTATGTTTGTCCAATAGATGGCGGCATGAGACCCTGGAATAATTTTACAACCTTTGTTATTGAGCTGCAGATCAATGTTTCTAGGGGAGATGATCCCAACCTGCTGATTCTGATTGAGTTTCAACACAATATTTTAAGCACATCAGAACCTCATTATAAAGGGTATTTTTTATGTTTTTTTGGGGGACATTGGCTGATACTTGGCCACGTCCACTGATTCCAGCAACTCTAAATAAAAACTACACAGGTTAAAGCAGCAGCAGAGGACGTCCCACTTGTTTTATGGTTCTCTTTTATGCTTGGTTCATATGTTCTGCTCGTTCATCATGGCCACATCAGCTCCTCAGACAAGATTAACAGCTTTAGTTCTGATTTCAGGGACCAGATCATCAGCTCTCCTCCTTCTCCGGCCAGACCTGATTAATTTGACAACATCGACAACTTTCTGGGTAGTATATACAATGAAAGTAGTTTGTAGAACAATACTTGAAAAATATCATTCCCTCAGCGACAGTCAGTGGAACATGAGCCTGTTTTCATGAGGTTACTGGTTTGACACTGGTGGTCCAAACCAGTAGAGCCCAGTTGTTGACATTATTTTTTCAGTATGATCCAGCAGATCAGTCTGAGGGTTTCACTGTGGATCTTTGAACCTGCTGGTTCTCTGCAGATGTTTGTGTTCAGAGCTTCTTCAGTGCTTTTATTTCATTTTCTCCCTGATCGATTCATGTGGTTTGAACAATAACATGCTTGTATTTCAGCAGTCTGAACCACAGACACAGAGCAGAATCTGCAGAATCCAGCTGTCCATCTATGAGGAGTGATAGGTCCAAAGGATACCCTGTAAACTTTAGTGAAGAACCTGGACCCTCGGCCACCAGGTAAGAAACCAGCATCTGACAAATCTTCCTCATGCTCAAAGGTTACCTGTGGAGTACCGCAGAGATCGGTGCTAGGACCAATTCTCTTTACTTTATACATGCTCCCAGTCGGTAGAGTTATTAGACAGCATGGGATTCATTTCCACTGTTTTGCTTATGATACCCAGCTATATCTGGCTATAATCCAGATGAAGCTAACCCATTACATAGATTACAGGCATGTCTGAAGACATAAAAACCTGGATTACTCTTTGCAACTTTCTGCTTCTGAATGCAGACAAAACAGAAGTTATAGTCTTTGGACCAGAGTCTCTGAAAAAAAAGCTGATTAGTCAGTCACTTCATTTGGATGAGATTAAACTGATTTCAGATAATAAAGTAAAAAATCTTGGTGTTATTTTTGATCAGGACCTGTCATTTAAATCCCAGATCAAAGAGGTTTCTAGAATTTCCTTCTTTCATCTGAGGAACATTGCAAAAATTAGAAATCTCCTTTCCAGGGGTGATACTGAGAAACTAGTCCATGCATTTGTTACTTCAAGGCTGGACTATTGTAAGTCTTTACTATCAGGAAGTCCACAAACTGTAGTTAAAAGCCTTCAGCTGATCCAAAATGCTGCAGCCAGAGTTCTGATGAAAATGAAAAAGAGAGATCATATCTCTCCTATCCCGGCTTCTCTTCATTGGTCCTAAAGTTCAGTCCGTGCCCAGACGAACAGGTAGATTCCAGTCTTTGGGGTACCAACAGGATGGAAAGCTGCTCAGAGTCCCAGGTGCGACAGTCATGGAGGACAGAGAACCAGCAGGAGACTAAATCAAGGCAGACAAAGGAAGGCAGGATAATCCAGAGGGCGCCTGGGGAATGATTGTAGATACATCAGGTATCCTTCAAATCCAAAGAGAATAAATCAGAGTGTCATAAATCCAAACATCTATATGTCTTCCATGTCCTAGATTGACAACATTGTAAAACACACCATCCTCAAAGTCTTCCAGGAGTCCATTGTGTATCCCACGAAGTATGTCCCGGCAGGACAGGATGAGTCCCCTTTTCCCTTTCTTCCAGTTGAGAAAATCTAATCAATTGCATTGAGAGACCAGCTGACCAGATCCATTGTTTGATTCTGAAGATATAAAGAGAGGGCTCAGAAAATACAAGACACAACTAAGCAGGGACAGATCAGGGAGGAACAGGAGCAGCAGGAACATGCAAATGAAAACTCAAAAAGAAACTTAAACAGAACCAGTAGGTTCACAAAGGGCAGAATCATGACAGGAAGACTTTGCATAGAACCAGAGTGAGCAGATGGCATAGAAATTGTCTATGCCCTGGTCTGTGAAAAGGCTCCTTTACAGCTTAATAATCATGAAGGATTGAACCGATAGTGTTAATGAAGACCTGAGTGAATTAACGATGAACGAAAATGTTGCATGAAAACAAGTTAACTAAGACTATGAGAATCAACAAGACTTTGAAATTGTCTCTTCACTCACTGAAAGAGTGGGGCACAGGAGGTTCTATTCTGGGAAAACTGGGCCCAGATCAGAAATCCAGACTGAATCCCTGGCTCTGACTCCAATAGAAACTTAGGTGTCACGATTGATGAACAGCTGACCTTTAAAGATCATGTTTCCTCTGTTTCTCGATCTTGTCACTTCACAATATTAAATATCGGAAAGATCATAACTAACCCAGCATGCTACCCAGCTCCTGGTGCAGTCTATGGTTATCTCCTACTATGATTTTTGTAACACACTCCTGACTGGTCTCCAAGCCTGTATGATAAAACCGTTACAACCAATCCAGAACACAGCGTGTCTGGTCTCCAGTCAGCTCAAAAAGTCTTTGGTCACCACTCTGTTTATTGAGCTTCACTGGTTAGCCCTGGCTGCCTGCATCAAGTTCCTGATGCTAGCCTACAGAGTGATTAAGGGTACGGCTCCCATCTGCTTTAACCTTCTAGCAAAGGCTTATGTCACAACTCAGTCACTTCAGTCGGCAATGGATTGGCATCTAGCAGTGTCTACACTTTGCTGAAGACATTCCAAGACCTACCAAGCACTACAAGAACAGCAGCATCCCTTTCTATCATCAAACTCCTAAAGACCAACCTCTTCAAACAGCATCTCCTATCCTAACTCATACCCATAGCTCTATACCCCTCTGTGACTCTCTCTGTACTTCCCTCTGTCGTTCTGCTGACAGCATGGATTCTGACTGGGGATTTTCCTATAGAGAACTTACTGTCATGATAACTAGAACATTAATGTATACTTTGTAAGTCACTTTAGATAAATGTGTTTGCTAAATAAACTAAACTCCAGTGGGAACATGGTCCAAGGGATCCATTGGGCTGATACTTGGCCACGTCCACTGATTCCAGCAACTCTAAACAAAAACTACACAGGTTAAAGCAGCAGCAGAGGACGTCCCACTTGTTTTATGGTTCTCTTTTATGCTTGGTTCATATGTTCTGCTCGTTCATCATGGCCACATCAGCTCCTCAGACAAGATTAACAGCTTTAGTTCTGATTTCAGGGACCAGATCATCAGCTCTCCTCCTTCTCAGGCCAGACCTGATTAATTTGACAACATCGACAACTTTCTGGGTAGTATATACAATGAAAGTAGTTTGTAGAACAATACTTGAAAAATATCATTCCCTCAGTGACAGTCAGTGGGACATGAGCCTGTTTTCATGAGGTTACTGGTTTGACACTGGTGGTCCAAACCAGTAGAGCCCAGTTGTTGACATTATTTTTTCAGTATGGTCCAGCAGATCAGTCTGAGGGTTTCACTGTGAATCTTTGAACCTTCTGGTTCTCTGCAGATGTTTGTGTTCAGAGCTTCTTCAGTGCTTTTATTTCATTTTCTCCCTGATCGATTCATGTGGTTTGAACAATAACATGCTTGTATTTCAGCAGTCTGAACCACAGACACAGAGCAGAATCTGCAGAATCCAGCTGTCCATCTATGAGGAGTGATAGGTCCAAAGGATACCCTGTAAACTTTAGTGAAGAACCTGGACCCTCGGCCACCAGGTAAGAAACCAGCATCTGACAAATCTTCCTCATGCTCAAAGGTTACCTGTGGAGTACCGCAGAGATCGGTGCTAGGACCAATTCTCTTTACTTTATACATGCTCCCAGTCGGTAGAGTTATTAGACAGCATGGGATTCATTTCCACTGTTATGCTGATGATACCCAGCTATATCTGTCTATAATCCAGATGAAGCTAACCCATTACAAAGATTACAGGCATGTCTGAAGACATAAAAACCTGGATGACTCTTAACTTTCTGCTTCTGAATGCAGACAAAACACAAGTTATAGTCTTTGGACCAGAGTCTCTGAAAAAGAAGCTGATTAGTCAGTCACTTCATTTGGATGAGATTAAACTGATTTCAGATAATAAAGTAAAAAATCTTGGTGTTATTTTTGATCAGGACCTGTCATTTAAATCCCATATCAAAGAGGTTTCTAGAATTTCCTTCTTTCATCTGAGAAACATTGCAAAAATGAGCAATCTCCTGTCCAGGGGTGATGCTGAGAAACTAGTCCATGCATTTGTTACTTCAAGGCTGGACTATTGTAATTCTTTACTATCAGGAAGTCCACAAACTGTAGTTAAAAGCCTTCAGCTGATCCAAAATGCTGCAGCCAGAGTTCTGATGAAAATGAAAAAGAGAGATCATATCTCTCCTATCCTGGCTTCTCCTCATTGGTCCTAAAGTTCAGTCCGTGCCCAGACGAACAGGTAGATTCCAGTCTTTGGGGTACCAACAAGATGGAAAGCTGCTCAGAGTCCCAGGTGCGACAGTCATGGAGGACAGAGAACCAGCAGGAGACTAAATCAAGGCAGAGAAAGGAAGGCAGGATAATCCAGAGGGCACCTGGGGAATGATTGTAGATACATCAGGTATCCTTCAAATCCAAAGAGAATAAATCAGAGTGTCATAAATCCAAACATCTATATGTCTTCCATGTCCTAGATTGACAACATTGTAAAACACACCATCCTCAAAGTCTTCCAGGAGTCCATGGTGTATCCCACAAAGTATGTCCCGGCAGGACAGGATGAGTCCCCTTTTCCCTTTCTTCCAGTTGAGAAAATCTAATCAATTGCATTGAGAGACCAGCTGACCAGATCCATTGTTTAATTCTGAAGATATAAAGAGAGGGCTCAGAAAATACAAGACAGAGAGAAGCAGGGACAGATCAGGGAGGAACAGGAGCAGCAGGAATATGCAAATGAAAACTCAAAAAGAAACTTAAACAGAACCAGTAGGTTCACAAAGGGCAGAATCATGACAGGAAGACTTTGCATAGAACCAGAGTGAGCAGATGGCATAGAAATTGTCTATGCCCTGGTCTGTGAAAAGGCTCCTTTACAGCTTAATAATCATGAAGGATTGAACCGATAGTGTTAATGAAGACCTGAGTGAATTAACGATGAACGAAAATGTTGCATGAAAACAAGTTAACTAAGACTATGAGAATAAACAAGACTTTGAAATTGTCTCTTCACTCACTGAAAGAGTGGGGCACAGGAGGTTCTATTCTGGGAAAACTGGGCCCAGATCAGAAATCCAGACTGAATCCCTGGCTCTGACTCCTATAGAAACTTAGGTGTCACGATTGATGAACAGCTGACCTTTAAAGATCATGTTTCCTCTGTTTCTCGATCTTGTCACTTCACAATATTAAATATCGGAAAGATCATAAATAACCCAGCATGCTACCCAGCTCCTGGTGCAGTCTATGGTTATCTCCTACTATGATTTTTGTAACACACTCCTGACTGGTCTCCAAGCCTGTATGATAAAACCGTTACAACCAATCCAGAACACAGCGTGTCTGGTCTCCAGTCAGCTCAAAAAGTCTTTGGTCACCACTCTGTTTATTGAGCTTCACTGGTTAGCCCTGGCTGCCTGCATCAAGTTCCTGATGCTAGCCTACAGAGTGATTAAGGGTACGGCTCCCATCTGCTTTAACCTTCTAGCAAAGGCTTATGTCACAACTCAGTCACTTCAGTCGGCAATGGATTGGCATCTAGCAGTGTCTACACTTTGCTGAAGACATTCCAAGACCTACCAAGCACTACAAGAACAGCAGCGTCCCTTTCTTTCATCAAACTCCTAAAGACCAACCTCTTCAAACAGCATCTCCTATCCTAACTCATACCCATAGCTCTATACCCCTCTGTGACTCTCTCTGTACTTCCCTCTGTCGTTCTGCTGACAGCATGGATTCTGACTGGGGATTTTCCTATAGAGAACTTACTGTCATGATAACTAGAACATTAATGTATACTTTGTAAGTCACTTTAGATAAATGTGTTTGCTAAATAAACTAAACTCCAGTGGGAACATGGTCCAAGGGATCCATTGGGCTGATACTTGGCCACGTCCACTGATTCCAGCAACTCTAAACAAAAACTACACAGGTTAAAGCAGCAGCAGAGGACGTCCCACTTGTTTTATGGTTCTCTTTTATGCTTGGTTCATATGTTCTGCTCGTTCATCATGGCCACATCAGCTCCTCAGACAAGATTAACAGCTTTAGTTCTGATTTCAGGGACCAGATCATCAGCTCTCCTCCTTCTCAGGCCAGACCTGATTAATTTGACAACATCGACAACTTTCTGGGTAGTATATACAATGAAAGTAGTTTGTAGAACAATACTTGAAAAATATCATTCCCTCAGTGACAGTCAGTGGGACATGAGCCTGTTTTCATGAGGTTACTGGTTTGACACTGGTGGTCCAAACCAGTAGAGCCCAGTTGTTATTATTTTTTCAGTATGATCCAGCAGATCAGTCTGAGGGTTTCACTGTGGATCTTTGAACCTGCTGGTTCTCTGCAGATGTTTGTGTTCAGAGCTTCTTCAGTGCTTTTATTTCATTTTCTCCCTGATCGATTCATGTGGTTTGTACAATAACATGCTTGTATTTCAGCATTCTGAACCACAGACACAGAGCAGAATCTGCAGAATCCAGCTGTCCATCTATGAGGAGTGATAGGTCCAAAGGATACCCTGTAAACTTTAGTGAAGAACCTGGACCCTCGGCCACCAGGTAAGAAACCAGCATCTGACAAATCTTCCTCATGCTCAAAGGTTACCTGTGGAGTACCGCAGAGATCGGAGCTAGGACCAATTCTCTTTACTTTATACATGCTCCCAGTCGGTAGAGTTATTAGACAGCATGGGATTCATTTCCACTGTTATGCTTATGATACCCAGCTATATCTGGCTATAATCCAGATGAAGCTAACCCATTACATAGATTACAGGCATGTCTAATGACATAAAAACCTGGATGACTCTTAACTTTCTGCTTCTGAAAGCAGACAAAACAGAAGTTAGTTAAATCCAGAATATAATTTAAAATCCTCCTTCTCACATATAAAGCCTTAAATGGCCAAACTCCATCTGATATCGGAGATCTGATCTGAGATCTGATATTAGATGTGAAGGATTGCATTTAGTCAATGAGTCGATGCAATCAACTGGTTTTCCTTAGATCGAAAATTTTGAATCAATTTGACTGGATGATCTGGTTGAACTGTAAAGTGCCTTGAGATAATATGTGTTGTGAATTGGCGCTATAGAAATAAACTGAATTGAATTGATTGTTCCTTATTTTCCTGGTTGACAGTTGCCTTTTGTATCTATGCTTCTTTTTCTATGTCTGCTTCTGTCTCCTTTAAACCCCAGTGGGCCTCAGCAGATGGCCGCTCACACTGAGCCTGGTTCTGCTGGAGGTTTCTTCCTGTTCAAAGGGAGTTTTTCCTCTCCACTGTCGCTACAATCATGCTTAGTGTGAGGGATTGCTGAAGAGTCAATGAGTCGATGCAATCAGCTGGTTTTCCTTAGATAGAAAACTTTGAATCAATCTGACTGGATGATCTGGTGAACTGGAAAGGGACCTCATTTAAACAATGTAGAATATGGTACATATTAAATAGCACATAAACTTCTCCCTCTTTCCAACTTACAGCCTAAGAATATTATCATAATAAATTATATTATATTCACATTACTAGTATCAGTATTAGTTAGGCCTTGTACACATTCATCCTTTAAGTTTGCAGAGAATTAGAATCAAATTGTTGGTTCTGATACTATTGATCTCGCCCAAGCATACCGTTACCAGTATCACCCTCTATGTGGGGACATATCACATCATTGATATGTGTTTTTGTTCTGTGGGTCTGTTCAGGCTATCTCTGTCTGAGTTAAATGCTCTTTTCTGTGATACATCTCAGTAACTGTGCAGAAGCACTTTGAAACACATCTTCTACTGCTGCCCTTTTCTACTGGGCACTTGTCATTGTTGTGTTCACAAGGTAGTTATTTCTGGGGTGACATCTAGATTAGCACTATTATGGCTTTTCTCGTTGTCTGCCCAACTCTTTTTCCAACTCTTTCTAAACGTCCTCTCCTCTCTCCTGTTCTCTGTGACAGATCTTCAGTTATTCTTCAGAGATTCACTTCCATACAGAAAGCCTTTATCTTCAGCTACAACAGTATACATGTCAGATGAAATAATACTACTTATACTTCAGAGATAGTATCAAGGTGTCACTTTATTGTATCTCTTATATTATGTCCGTTGGTTGAGCTGTTCTTTTTACATCTCTTTGCAGGTGATGAAGCAGACTGAGGATGTTTTATCATTGTCTCCCTATTATCTCCTCTTTCTTTAATCTTTTCTCCTTTCTTTTCTGTTTTTTACCCCTCTGTTCTACTTACATTGCAGTGTCCATATAATTTGTAAAACTCCCTGCATGAATTATAATAATGCTATTTACATGCATAAATCAAGCGGAACACTATGGCGATAGCCATACTGCTCCACTTGTGAAAGTAAAATGTGTTGGGCTCTTTTTTGGCATCAAGACAATTATTCTTATTGCCACATTGCCACTGTAAAAAAAAAAAAAAAATATATATATATATATATATATATATATATATATATATATATATATATATATATATAGGAGGCCGAGGGCTAGTGAGTGTCAAGACCACTGTCCAGGATGAAACAACTAAGACCCAGGAGTACATCAGGAAGATACCCCCCAAAGACAAATGGCTCGGTGAGTACCTCAGGCAGGAGAAAACCGAAAGTGAGGACAAGAAAGAGGAAGGAGAACCATCATGGAGGGACAAGCCGCTGCACGGCGTATACCACAGACAAAGAGAAGAAGTGGCTGATATCAAAAAATCCTACCAGTGGCTGGAAAAGGCTGGACTGAAGGACAGCACAGAGGCACTAATCATGGCAGCACAAGAACAGGCACTCAGTACAAGATCAATAGAGGCCGGGGTCTACCACACCAGGCAGGACCCCCGATGCAGACTGTGCAAAGATGCCCCTGAAACAATACAGCACATAACAGCAGGGTGTAAAATGCAGGCAGGAAGTGCATACATGGAACGCCACAACCAGGTAGCTGTCATAGTGTACAGGAACATCTGCCATGAGTATGGGCTGGAAGTCCCAAGGTCAAAATGGAAGACACCTCCTAAGGTAGTTGAGAATGACCGAGCTAAGATCCTATGGGACTTCAAGATCCAGACTGACAAACAGGTGATGGCTAACCAACCAGACATCGTGTTGATGGACAAACAGCAGAAGAAGGCAGTAGTGATAGATGTGGCAATCCCAAGCGACAGCAACATCAAGAAGAAAGAACACGAGAAGCTTGAGAAATACCAAGGACTGAAGGAGGAGCTAGAAAAGATGTGGAAAGTGAGAGCAGCAGTGGTGCCAGTGGTAATTGGAGCACTGGGGGCTGTGACCCCCAAACTGGGAGAGTGGCTACAGCAGATTCCAGGTAAAACATCAGAGGTCTCTGTCCAGAAGAGCGCAGTCCTAGGAACAGCTAAGATACTGCGCAGAACCCTCAAACTCCCAGGCCTCTGGTATATATATATATGGTATATATATATATATATGTATAATCTATTTTCTCCCCCCTGGTGGGGTGGTATGTGTCATCCTCGGGTCCTCTACCAGAGGCCTGGGAGTTTGAGGGTTCTGGGCAGTATCTTAGCTGTTCCTAGGACTGCGCTCTTCTGGACAGAGACCTCTGATGTTTTACCTGGAATCTGCTGTAGCCACTCTCCCAGTTTGGGGGTCACAGCCCCCAGTGCTCCAATTACCACTGGCACCACTGCTGCTCTTACTGTCCACATCTTTTCTAGCTCCTCCTTCAGTCCTTGGTATTTCTCAAGCTTCTCGTGTTCTTTCTTCTTGATGTTGCTGTCGCTTGGGATTGCCACATCTATCACTACTGCCTTCTTCTGCTTATCGCTACTTCTTTAGCAATAATCTTATGTTTAAGATTATCGCTAAAGAGGCCATGTTTAATAAGTAGTGATTTTTGTACGTTTTGAGATCAGGGTGTGAGAGTTACAGTCTCGTTGACCGTCCAGGAAGTAGACAAGGCCCAATAGCTAACAGGCTGGAGTCACTGAGATCAGGGAAGCATGTAGTAATCCTGTAGATCTTTGCCCACTGGTCACCACCAACGCGTTCACATATAGGCCCTACCACTTCTACCCTCCCTCAAAGATAAGAGGAATTTTAACATAGGGCATGTGGGTGTCATGAAACATTTAAGACGTGCTGGTTCAATTATCCCTTTTTTTGATAATCTCTTTTCATGGGGATATTGGCTCTGCTTTTTTGTAGATGGATGCAGCAGTTCCACTCTTCTCCATCAGAACCCTCTTCTTGCCCTGAAGATGGAGGAAGATGCAAAACCAGAGATGGAACTCTGACTGCCAATCAGTTCATCTATGCCACAGGTAAGACTGAACATCTCCAAGCCAAGCTTCCTTCAGTTCTGTATTGAAATGTTTTCACATCTTTAATTTAAAAAGGTGTAATGCACATTTTTCACAGAACTTTGGTTTTTAAAGCTGGTTTAATCCCAGCATCTGTGTCCACCCTAAATACCCGTTGAATTTGCTTTGATAAGCTTCAGTTTTCAACCTTTTGTGCTAAATTTGTCGAACCTGAAAATTTCCATAAAACTGGTTATAATTTTAAGCCATTAAAAACAAAGAGATGAAAGAAAGCCATCTACATTGCTGATTTCAGAAAAAGAGGGACAGGAAGGTGAATCAGAGCCACAACCATCTGAGTTCCCGCCGTTCCCTAAGTACAAATGGCTTGAATGCCCCCTTTAAAAGAATAATATTTTAAAAAGTAACTGTGAGAGGACCTTAGTTATAAATTTTTTTAAAATGTCTGCACTAACTAAGTGATCTGCGGTGGCTGCATCCACACAAGATGACGGTGTCTTCCCTTGATGGAAGAAAAATTATATAGTGGGATTAAAATGTGGAAAAATAAAGTACAATAAATGATATTCAATAAATGCCATAAAGTCAATCAGCCGGGTTCATTTTAAAAGAAATCTTTAAACCAATCTGACTGTCTAAAGGTATTCAAATAGTCTCTGTAAAGTGCCTTGAGATGATATGTCATGAATTGGCACTATATGAATGAAATTAATTTGAACTAATTTTCAAAGGAACAATGGGGTGTTTAATGCAGAACTAAAATGTATTCTTAAAGGTACTGATTTTTTATGCTGTTTATACTGTATACATATGTTGTACCAAGTGCATAAGTTCTCAGTTCAGTCAGATCATACGGACGGATTGGTAAAACAGGTTTCATCTAATGAAACCCAGGATGGAGCTGGGTGTATGGGCAGTTTGGGAGGTGAGATGGGTAAATGCAAGGAGTTGGGTAGAAAGGCTGCTCAGCCAACTGGGAGTGTAAGTGAGCTAACCAAAAGGATATTTCTCTCTGGGAAATATCTAACTGAAAGATTGTTGGTATTCCTCCTCCATGCCCAGAATTTTGGGGTATGTGCAAATTTAAAGAGCTGGAGGAAGATGCCTCATTTATGTTTACTTAAGGCCCAGTCACACCTTGCACCCTTAACTTTCTATGTATATTATTCAATTTTTGGCATATACATGACATATTCATAGTCCAGAGCGTATGCTTATGTAAACGACCTAACTTCTCTTGAGGGGGGCAGCGATCCGGCTGCCCAGCCAGCATAAAAAGATTTCGTTGGTCGTGGCATTAACCTAGCTGCTCTTACCGTCCGCCAAAAAAATAAATAAATAGAAATAAAGAAAGAATGTTTTTGGTGGCAGCAGATTGAGCGTCATGTCTGCTAGGAAGTTTGTTGGTGGTGGGTGTGAACACAGGGAGGATCCATCACACTCACCTTCTGGCTCACCCTATGATGGTTATGTATTCTGGAGGAGAACTGACGGTTTCCTTCTGTGAACCCTCTTTACACCAAAACGCTGCCAATACGCCATTAAACGGTAGCTGGAAGTTAGAACCACGTTCAGAGCTCATTGGAGGGAAGTTCTTGATAAGTTACTGAGAGGTGTAGGATAAGCTAGATGCCATGACTGATGAGGAACTGACACTGAACGTATGTCAACCATCAGATAACTGACCTGGAACTGATGGCCAACGGATGGCATACACTGTCCGGAAATTTTGAGCATGTTGAAAATCTCTTGATGTAATCGCCATATGTCAAGGTGTTTCAGCATACTTCAGCCTGCTCCTAACTTCAAAAAGTTCCCATAATTTACCCGATGTATGCCAGCTTTTTGCCAGATTTTGTCTAAATCGTCAAGGTGTGACAGGGCCTTTAATCATTTTGCTGCAGCCAAGTTTCTGTAAGGCAACATAAATCAATGTGATTATCACAAAACAAGTCATGAACTAGCAGGCATGTTGAAGAAAGAGAATTAATTAATTAATTAATTAAGTCTAAATTAATTCTATTATTTATTCCTTTAGGTGTTTTCTTCTAATTTATTTTATCTTTGTCACGGACAGTGTGTCTGTCTGGGTGGATGTGAGGGACCAAACAGGCAAACCGTAAGGGCGCAGTGAAAATTTCCCCCCCCAAAAACGGTTTTATTTCCCCAAAGTAACAAAAACCCAAACAATAATTACAAGGCCCCTTAAAAGAGTTCAATTTAAAAAAAAAAACTAACTCAAGGCAAAAAATATCAAAGTTAAACATAACAAAACCTGAAACTCATCGCTCAAACAAACAAACTGACCTGACACCTCAGAAGAGGACTTAAATTCTGGAAAATCAGACCACACTGACACACTGAGGAAGAGGGAAGGAGAACATCTACACAAATTTGACAAAAACAACTAAACAGTTAGCTTAAGGTTAAAACCTAAAATTACAATAACTAAACAAAATTAACACAATTAGCAAATAACAAAAGTAAAAGAAAGACTATGCAAAATATTAAAGTGAGGACTCAATGGGCTTCGGTAATAGTGGAAGTCCAAATGATACCACCTTATCTGTCAATCAGGCAATCTGGATTGAGTGTGTCAGCCAGAATCCTTTGCCAGTTATAGTATGGAATTCAGTGGTAAATTCTCTTTAGCACATAATCAGGACACGCAAATTAATGCTGCAGTATCAAACATCCAACCATCCATTCATTTTCTGACATGCTTTATCCCAACTGGGATCGCGAGGGATGCTGGTGCCTATCTCCAGCTGTCTACAGGCGAGAGGCGGGGTAAACCCTGCACAGGTTGTCTGGTAGAAACAGGAAATTGTTAAAATTAATTTAGTGTGGCCAGTTTCTAGACAGCAAAGGCTTTCTGCTTGTAAAACCAGCCTTAGTGAATAGGAGAGCACAGATTTAACTCAACTCTCCTCTTATTAGATGATGTGAAATGGGGACGCCCCACAGAATGCACCCGCTAGCTGGATATCTTTCCAGGAGGTCTGTATTCATTTAACATCGGCAAATGCACCAAATATGTAAACCAGTCGAAAATTCTATTTAAGACAAAATCTAGAGACTTTAATTATTATTCTGATGTCCCTTCCAGAACCAGGGGAATAAATAGGTATTTATTGTTATGCCAATTCAATTGATATCTCTTCCACAGACGGTACTTCCCTAAACACCAAAAAAGGAAGTACAAAAATATTTAATATATGACAAAATTAAAATATATGAATGTTAACCAAATGTGCGCACTACAATTTGAACTAATGTCTTTCAATATTGCCAAAATTTTGTGGAGTTACCAACTGTGTGGCCATTATGATGTAGCAATGAGTGGGTAAGACTACACAAGGTGAAAATAATCAAATCCGGTCCAAAATGCACAATACAGTGCTCACTCATATCTCACAAAGCGTTTTCCCCCAAAAGACATGGCACCCATCTCAGTTTTATTTATAACTGTTGTAACCTAGTGTAAATGTGTGATACAACAGAGCGTGTTGCCTCATGGACTGTGTGGAAATCTGTGCTGCATGCTGAGGACATAGGGACCCCCATTTCATCATTCTGCTTCATTCTCTCTCTGTTCTCCTATTCTGCAGAATCTGTTAGTTCAATCTCTAACCTTCTGCTCTCTCTGCTTTTCCTCAGAGTAGCTTTGCCTCGTCTGTTCCTGTTTGGCTGTGACGTCATCCTGGAAAAAAACATCAGCTGTGCTGCTTCTATCAACACCCTTGTTAATAGATGTTGGAGATCGGCCTGTTTTCCAGTGTGGTCCTGTTTCTCTGACCGTGACTGAGTGGATGTGCTCTCTTCGTCCTCTGGCATGGGAGCTGCCTTGGAGCTCGTCTGCCTGGCTGTGTGTTTCCTGGACGGGCCGCCTTTTACAGCTGCTTTTTGTATCTCTGCTTCTGTCTCCTTGAACCCCAGTCGGCCTCGGCAGATGGCCGCTCACACTGAGCCTGGTTCTGCTGGAGGTTTCTTCCTGTTAAAAGGGAGTTTTTCCTCTCCACTGTCGCTACAAGCATGCTTATTGTGGGGGATTGTATTTGAGTCAATGAGTCAATGCAATCAACTGGTTTTCCTTAGATAGAAAACTTTGTATCAATTTGACTGTATGATCTGGTTGAACTGTAAAGTGCCTTGAGATGAAATGTGTTGTGAATTTGGCGCTATATAAATAAACTGAATTGAATTGAATTGAGTTTGTTTTTAGATACCAAAAAAGATGATATTGCCAGGATTCTATGAAGCATAAACTGTTCCCTTAACCTCCGCTCTCCATTGTTTTCTGTGTGCAAGGGTTTCCTGCCCAAACATCATGTCCTCTGTATACTCTGCATATTGCTATATATGGAAAAAGCCTTATTCCTGAAACACTAAGTGGCCTAAAATAATATTGCTCCTATACTACCTGATATTGTGAGTTGTTTCTCAATTAGGTGAAAGTATTTCATCTGGATTTCCTTCATTAAAGGTTGGGAAATGTTGAGAAAGCCCTTGTCTCTCTCAGCTTCTTCTGTAGCTGATGCTATTTAAAAAAAATATCAGATCAAAATGAAAAGATGAGGACAATGGTGACATTTAAGAATCTGTAGCTAAAAGCTGCTGCTTGTTTTTTCAGCATTTATTCATCATCCCTGCTTGGAGAATAAGATCCAGATGATGGCCACAGAACAGAGGCAGAAAAATGCTCTATGACAAAAGGGAAAATATTCTGATTTAGAGAAAAGGCTGAATTGTTTGTTTTAAAGGAGAAAAAGGAGAAGTCCTAATGAGAACACCTCCTAACCCTTCAGATGATTTGGGTCTTGACTAAATCATTTTTTTCCTTCAGTTGCCTTTTCTTTGTTGTTTCAGCAGATGATGGTCTGCAGGAGGTTCTAGAAGAACATAAGAGCAGCCTGAGAAGAAGATGTGAAAATGTGACTGAAGGAGGTGATGAAACAGGAAGTAGAACCATCTTAAACATGATCTACACTGATCTCTACATCACTGAGGAACAGAGTGAACTGGTTAATACCCAACATGAGGTGAGGTGGATGGAGAAAGCTTCAAAATACCAGAACCTCCATGATACTCCCATCAGGTGCCATGACATCTTTAAAGCCTTCCCTGACCAAGATGGAGCCATCAGAGTGGTTCTGACCATCGGCGTCGCTGGTATTGGGAAAACCTTCTCAGTGCAGAAGTTCACTCTGGACTGGGCAGAGGGCTTGGAGAACCAAGATATCAGTGTGGTGGTTCTGCTTTCCTTCAGGGAGCTGAACCTGATCAGAGATCAGCAGCACAGTCTTCTCACGCTGCTCCATGTTTTCCATCCAACCCTCCAGAAGCTCCCAGCAGAGAAGCTGGCTCTCTGGAAGCTTCTCTTCATCTTTGATGGCCTGGATGAAAGCAGACTTTCTCTGGACTTCAACAACAGTCTGACTGTTTCTGACGTCACACAGAAGACATCAGTCAACGTTCTGCTGATGAACCTCATCAAGGGGAACCTGCTTCCCTCGGCTCTGGTCTGGATAACTTCCAGACCTGCAGCAGTTGATCAAATTCTTTTTATATGTGTTGCCAGGGTAACAGAAGTACGAGGCTTCAACAACTTCCAGAAGGAGGAGTACTTCAGGAGGAGGTTCAGTGATGAAGAGGAGAAGGCCAGCAGGATCATCTCCCTCATCAAGACCTGCAGAAGCCTCAATGTCATATGTGGGATCCCTGTCTTTTGCTGGATCACTGCTATGGTTCTGGAGAACCTGCTGACCACAGAGCAGAGTGAAGAGTTGCCCAAGACTGTGACTGATATGTACTCACACTTCCTGCTGGTCCAGACCAGGAGGAAGAAGAACAAGTACCATGAAGGGCATGATAGAAGTATGCAGGAGCTAATGGAGGCTGACAGGGAAGTTCTCCTGAACCTGGGAAGGCTTGCGTTTGAACAACTGAAAGAAAAAAACACAATTTTCTATCAAGAGGACCTGGAGCAGTGTGGTCTGGGGGTCAGAGAGGCCTTGGTGTACTCAGGAGTTTGTACAGAGATCTTTAAAAGAGAAAACTTGATCTCCCAGAAACCAATTTACAGCTTTGTTCATCTCAGCATCCAAGAGTTTCTGGCTGCAGTTTACATTTTCCACTGTTTCACCAGCAGGAACACACAGGTACTGAGGAGCTTCCTGGGAAAAGAGTACAGTGAAACATCTCTGGATGACTTTCTGATTAGAGTTATGAAGGAAACCCTCAAACTAGGAAATAACCACCTGGAACTGTTTGCACGCTTCCTTCATGGCCTCTCTGTTGAGTCTAATCAGAGACTCTTAGGAGGCCTTCTGGGTCAAATGGAGAAAAATCCGAAAACCATTAAAAAAATCAGCAACAATCTTAAGGAGATGAAAGCTGGTGGACGTTGTCCAGATGCATCTATTAACATCTTCCTCTGCCTGATAGAAATAAAGGACCTTTCAGTTTATCAGGAGGTTCAACAGTTCATGAAATCAAAGAAAAGATCAAAGAAGCTCTCAGAGATCCAGTGTACAGCTCTGGCCTACATGCTGCAGATGTCAGAGGAGGTTCTGGATGAGTTGGACATGCAGAAATACAACACAACAGATAAGGGAAAATATAGACTAATACCAGCAGTAGTGAACTGCAGAAAAGCTCGGTGAGTCTAGGGGCTTCATGTATAAAATATGCCTATGGAAACAATATTTGTGGCATAACGTTTTACTCAAACATTCCATTTTTAAAAATGAATATTAAATAAGGGTGTGCTCAGGAGTTCATACACACCCAGGACGCGCCCCACAGCCCCCCAATACACTAAGTGATGGACCTGATCAAAGGAGCCCAGAGAGATCAGTCTGATGGGGATACAGATGCTGTCTCAAGATTAATATGATCCAACAACAGATCTCTGTGCTGATTGATGTTGAGTTTATCCTTACTTTTCCTATTCATGAGGATAGTTTTCTTTGCGATACATAACGCAGTGAATGCCATGCAAACTGTTTTTTTTTTTCCATAGACCGTTCCTAAAAGTCACCCGGCAAGCAAACTGGAGGGGAAAGTGAGATTTTACAACCCAGGCACAGTGATAGATCCTTACATACCTGAACCCAAAACCTCTGAACTGGCGTGCAGAACCAGAATGCGTGAAAATAATTATCAACATGATTGCCTGTGCACTGTGGACAGATGTTAGATTGTGAAAAAAAACCCATCTTGAATAATCTTTGACCTGTATAGTGCACTCTGTGGAGGATTTTGTATTGTATTCGTTGTAAATTGGGGTTTCTAGTCATTTTAAAAGTTCTTAGACATATCTGAGCCCAGATGTTTTGTTCAAAGCTGACTGATAAATCCTCCTCCCATTTAGTAATAGGAAGAGATATTGTATCATCCAGTTTAGTCAGTGTCCTGTATAATTTAGACAGTAGTTTGGGGGGGGTTAACTCTAGAAACTCTGATATATTAGTTGGAATTTGTAAACCTCCATCAATATGCTTAAATTTATTTCTAATTATAGCTTTAATTTGCTCAAGAATTTATTTTTGTTAATGCCATATTGCAAATTTAATCTAGCGAATGTGATAAACTCCGTACCTTCAAACAAATGATCCAGATATGTAATACCTTTATTTTTCCAGTACGGAAAGTTTATCACATTATTGTTTTGTAGAATGTCAGGGTTATTCCAGATGGGTGTACGACTGCACGGGATAAGTGATGACTTCGTTATTTCAAGAAATTCCCACCATGCTGTCAGGGAAGAGCTGATTATAATATTTTAAAAACATGAGTGCCGCTTCATATTAGAGCTAATAAACGGCAAATCTGAGATTATTATATTACTGCATATTCCCTGTTCTGTATCTATCCAGGGTTCATCTAAGGGCTTGTGTTTTATCCATTTAGAGATGTATTGTAATCTATTTGCTAAGTAGTAGTTTTGGAAGTTAGGTTAATCTAAAGATATTTTGAGGGGGGCCACCTACTACCCGCTCAGGGAACCCACCCAATATGCCCCTGGTAAGTGATGTCGGGGCTCCCCAGACCAACTGGTTATGCCTTTGAGGGCTCCTGAAGGACGGAAAGAGGTTAAGCCCATGGGCACAGAGAGCTGTGCACCACTTTGGCTGAAAGCTGGGAAATAGACGTGCACAGCATATGATGCACAAGGATAATTTGGTTTGTCCATATTGAATTGCACAGTTGGTGGGCTGTGCCCGCCTGCTACGATCCATTGCAGTGATGAAATCACCATTCGAAAGGTTTGCTTATCTTCAAACATTGAAAGTTGTTTGTATATGCAGAACAGACATTCAAATAAGGCAGAGAACCTCTGTCTGCTGTTCAACAGATCCAACTTTCAAATATCTTAATGCATGTATGCTCTGATCAATATTTGATTTCCTTTCAGTTAATTTCAGTCCATTTATATTATGCAGATTCAAAACGCATATGATCTCAAGGAACTAATGAGACAATGCGATCAGAATTTCTGACTTAAAGATCTAATAGATCCAGTAAGATTAGTTATACATTTTTATAAGGGGTATCCGCTGATTGCATCTGTTCAGTGGCTACAGGATTCCAATTTCTGAATTACCATGGATTATCTGCTTCTTTTTCTATGTCTGCTTCTGTCTCCTTGAACCCCAGTCGGCCTCAGCAGATGGCCGCTCACACTGAGCCTGGTTCTGCTGGAGGTTAAAAGGGAGTTTTCCTCTCCACTGTCACTTCAAGCATGCTTAGTGTGAGGGATTGCTGGAGAGTCAATGAGTCGATGCAATCAGCTGGTTTTCCTTAGATAGAAAGGGATTGCTGAAGAGTCATTGACAATATGCAAGAGTAAATCCTCTCTGTAGGCTCATCTAGCAGGAGCTTGTTTTACAAGTCAATGACTGGATGCTTATCCTGAACAATTTTCCCAAACAAACTAAATTTGAACTGAATCAGTTCTAGCATACATGCTCTGTGCCAGTTTCCATGTCATTTGGGATAAAGGGTGAAATTTAAAGTCTTAATACTTCCAGCTGCTGCTGTGCGGAGGGACTCTAAAACTACACCTCATCCCAGACCTGGTGATGCTCATCATTGCTTTGATAACATTAAACAACCTAAGTCTGAACAAAAAAAAAATAATGATACAGAATTTGCTGGTAATGTGAGTAGACATGACCACCTGAGCTTAAACGGTCATCCAGTATCTACATGCTAGAAGAAGAAGTTACTTTTTTGATCTCCCTGTGGATTGACATTGGGATATGATCCCCTCTGAACTGGGCATAAACTTCTGCTCCTAGGTTTTTTGATAGCAATGGTCACACCACAAATTTCATAACCTCTGTTAAATGAAATGATGGGTCAGAATTGTGGTGTAGCAGGCTAAGAATGGCATTGTCTACAAAAAAATACAGCTTACACAACTCAAAGGCGTATCTGTGCTGATGCATTGGATCCTGAAAATGAGTCATCAATTCAGATATTTTGGATTAGGGAGTGGCGGCCTAGTGGTTTCCTTTGGTTCTGAGTTCAAACCCCGCTCCCACTGACTGCCACTTTGGGTCTCTGAGCAAAGACCCCACACTACCCGTGGTACCGTACAATGGCAGCCCACTGCTCCCCAAGGTGATGGGTTAAATGCAGAGTTAATTTGATTGCTCTGTACTTGTTACAGTGCAAAGACAATAAAATCTGAAAAAAATTGTCCAACACTATCTCATAAACAGTGAGAATAAATACCAGGGCTCCCAGACTGTGTGGCAATTATTTATGGAAACAGTCTCCCACTGTACATGAACTAAAGCTCAGGCCTGAATGAAACTCATAGTTTAGTTCTGTACAATGAACAAATTATTATCAAAATGGAGCCTAGGCAGAAGTTCAACTGAAGAAACGGATTGCTCTCCTTCATCCACCTGCAACTGCCAATCAGCATCCAAAGTTCATCTTAACTTAAAAGGCCTCCCATCCGCTCCGTCTGCTCCTGTGTGCAGGCAGTGGATGCGTTGTGACGTCATTCTGATGACCCCGTTTCCACCCCCCTCCAGCCCCTCCTCCACCATCGTGAATAAAAATTCATCAGAGCGTCATTCCTCCTGGACTCTTACTGCGTTCCCTGTCTCATTTCAACCGATCCGGCAGAAGACATCCATGTTGAGCCTGGTTCTGCCAGAGATTTCTTCCCAATGGGGAGTTTTTCCTCTCCACTGTCACTTCATGCTTGCTCATCATGGACAGGTTCTCTCAACCTGTCTTATCCAAGCTGGACTTCCATCTTTCAGGAAGTGAAGCTCTAGTATCAGCTCACGCAGTCCAGTGGATCTCCCCATAAAGCTTAGCAGACTGTCTCTCTTACCAGCAGTCTATAGACTGACCAACTCCATCTATCTCCACTTCACCACCAGTTTCAGGCCGGGAGGGGGGGGGGGGGGGGGGACTGACCTATTCTTTGCTACTGTTCATAAATACCTATCAAAATTAAGGCCTATGTTTCCTGCCGAGCTCTGAGCACCTCAAATTATACCCCAAAGTTCCTGTCCCACAAACAAGAGAGACAGCAGGGCGACAGTGGCATCGGATGTAGGAGTTTGCCCTGAAATCGAAGGATGGACGGTTCAAGCCCCGGCTTCGACTTTCATTGTCGTTGTGTCCTTGGGCAAGACACTTCACCTGCATTGTCTACTGATGGTGGTCAGAGGGCCCGGTGGCGCCAGTGTACGGCAGCCCCGCTTCTGTCAGTGAGCCCCAGGGCAGCTGTGGCTACAATGTAGCTTGCCACCATCAGTGTGTGTGTGAATGGGTGAATGACTGAATGTAGTGTAAAGCGCTTTCTTCAAGTCTCCTGACGAGGAAAAAAGGTGCTACATAAGCACAGGCCATTTACAGTTTACAACACTAAATACCAGCAAGGCTACCTCACAATATTTTAAACATAACTTCATGTTGCTACAGAGTGCATCTATTTGGCTCCAAAGAGAGCAAACCTTATTCTGAATAATGACAGGCAGCAGCAGTATGCTTCCTATCTGACAAAGTTGCTGGGAAAGTAAGTAAAACTGAGACTCCAGTGAATTGGATACAGAAGATTCTGATGTTACTTTATAGAAATTTGCCCTTGAGATGTAAAATCTCTATTTTGACGGCATCCTTCACAAAAAACTTTTAATCTGCATTCTGTTGGCATTGACTTACACATTTTATTCTTTTTTTTAGATTTGTTAACTTCAGGTTGACAGAGATCTACAGTGTTTTGCTCCTTTGTTTGAAAACCAACCCCCCCCATTTGACAGAACTGGACCTAACCAACACCAACTTTACAGATGATGGAGTGAAGGACCTCTGTATTTTTCTAGAGAACCCCCTCTGCAAACTACAGATATTGAGGCAAGACTGTTTTAGTTTTGTGCTGATATTTCTGATGTAAAAGATGTTTTCATACTAAACTGTTAATATTTTACTGACTTTTTACCTGAAGGTTTTTGTTATCTTCAAATGAAAATTATTGATTCATTTATTTTAGGGGTTTACATCAATTTCATAAGATTTGCATCAGAGCTCATAACAGAGAACCCAGTATACAGACAGACAGACAGCATGATATCTCTAAAAGTGTTTATTTAAAATGCAATGAAGAGCTTGGGCACATAAGGCAGGAATCTCTGCAAAAAGAAAACTGGACCACGTCAATCTAACCATGCTTGTAGCGTCAGTGGAGAGGAAAAACTCCCTTTGAACAGGAAGAAACCTCCAGCAGAACCAGGCTGTGCACTGTTAAAAAAGTAAATGGCAATTGTTGTTCTAACACACAATTGTATTGTAATCCGACTCAGAAATATAAATTTGACATCTAACAAATAAATACACGTTTGCCCAACTCAAATTCTCAGAAGTTGGTTTAACAAGGAGTTTTAAATCGCCTATACAAGATTTTTTGAGTTCCCTCAACTGTAAACTCATGGGCATGCGCACTGCTTATGTTCATGGACACGCCCACTACGGTACGGGGTTTCCTATCCCTTTCTTCAAGGGCACAGCCTTTTTCCCTCGTGTTTGAGAAGATTGGCGGACATTGTGATTTTATGCATCTGGAGAACCACGCAGGAACGACCCTGGGACCTTACCAGTTTTCCCGGTGAGTGCTGCAAAGTACAGACAGTTAGCGGTTAGCTCCGTGAGTTAGCATTCCCTTGTGGTGTATTGCCACCGAGTTGAAGCATGAGTTCACATGTTTTTCACGTTCTGATGAAAGGAAAAGCAGCGCACGTGCACGTGTATAATGCGCGTGTGCGCGTGCGTGTTTATGCCGCGCATGTGCGGGTGAGTGTTTATGCATAGAGAAAAGAGTGTGCCTGTTATTTTCATTGTACAAATGAAAAGAGACATTAAGTTGAGTGTAATAACTTATTAAATTTCTAAATTGTTTTATGTAGTGCAGTGTTGTTGCACTCAGGCACAGAATATTACAAGACTACATTATTTTACTTTCTTAATCCGATGTGGGTATTTACTGTTATTTACATTATTTACATGTGGATTTTTTGCTTTCATGATTTTATTTGCTTTACAAGAAAAACAGTGACATTAACATTTTATATGTTAACCCTGTAATGCAGCAGTTAATTCGTAATGAGTTAGAAAAGTTACATTACACACTGAAATTTATCATACTTGGAGAGATATAAACTGTACAGTTAAGAACAAGAAGTGAATGGATTTAACTAAGCCCTGTTGTGCTATGCAGGCTGGGTTTTTTGGATACCCTGGATTCTGGATTCTCTCCTTAAATGGAGATGGCGAGCCAACCGTGTGAACATCTGGATTTGGATTGAAGAGAAGGATTTGGACTGAAGAGGACTTTCTTTTTTTGCATTCATCGTCCTGTCGGAGTGGTAGGACTAAAAAGAAAAACTCAGAGATAAAAAGGGAAAACCTTTTTCTTTTTCCGTTGGGAAACAAGACATTTTATTTCATTTTATTTTTTTTAAAAGGGTGCACCCAATTTAAAGAGACTACAATTGAAAAAAACAAACTGAAGGCCGTCCAAATTTGTAAAACTGTTATTTTTTCATATATGTTAATACACTTACTTCACAAAAAATTACCTGTGTGTTTTCCTCTTACTAAAATGGTGTCTTACTGTTTTTTCCCTCATCATCACTCTTACGAATCTAGAACATTCTGGTCCAGTGTCATGTTACTTTGATCTGTGCAGTTAAGATTATGTTGTTGAACATGGTTTTATACTGTATCTATGCAATGTTTGGCTTGAAGCAATAAAAATGTTGTATTAACATAATTTTTTGTGTGTTGAATGATTGGTAGTGAAGACGATTGGTAGGACTAAAAAAACTGAGTTGATAGAACTCAACTTGCAGATAACACTACAAAATCTGAGTTTGTAGAACTCAAAATCTATATGTCAAACTCATAAAACAAAGTTGATAGAACTCAGAACTTAAAGGTGAAACTCAAAAACCTAAGTTGGTAGAACTCAAAATTTCTATGTAACACTCCAAAAACCTAAGTTGGCAGAACTCAAAAATCTTTGTAAACTCAACCACAGTGAATTTAAGTAAGGAAAACTAAAAAAACCAAATGCATCACGTTGCCTAGAAAATGTAAGTTCTGTCAACCTCTATTTTTTTTTCAGTGTGTGAGCGGCCATCTGCTGAGGCCCACTGGGGTTCAAGGAGAATGAAGCAGACATAGAAAAAGAAGCATAGATACAAAAGGCAACTGTCAACCAGCTCCACAGGCGGCCCCGTCCAGGAAACACACAGCCAGGCAGACGAGCTCCGAGCCAGCTCCCATGTCAGAGGATGAAGAGAGCACATCCAGTTAGTCACAGTCAGAGAAACAGGACTACACTGGAAAAGAGGCAGAGCTCCAACATCTAGAAACAAAGGTGTTGATGGCAGCAGCACAGCTGATATTTCTCTCCAGGATGGAGTCACAGCCAAACAGGAACAGACCAGATGAAGCTACTATGAGAAAAAGCAGAGAGAGCAGAACGTTAGAGATTGAACTAACAGATTCTGCAGAGTGGGAGAATAGAGATAGAATGAAGCAGAATGATGAAATGTACTAATGTCAAACCATTATATAAGAAAGGACCAAACATAACATATTTATTCAATTATTGTACAATTTCTATAATGAAAATAATTATTTAATTAGATTTTTGATTATAAGAAACTTATTCTATGATTTGTTAATCTTTAATTAACCAACATGTGGGGAAGAGTAAGACCACAGAGAACAGCTGCCCAGGGTGAAGCTTTTGACCTCAGTTCTCCCATGGTGAGGTCACGTCCTTGCAAAGCCAATAGGAAAAATCAGATGCTTCTGGATACAAAAGTAGCTTTCAAAAACGTGCCGTTAATTGTCAAAATAATGCACAGGATATGGAAACAGCACTATAAGATATCCCTTGATATAGTTTATCAACAAAACAAGGCTTAATTTATGGATAAGTAGTCCTTTAATGAGAGCTCTTCATCTTGTTTTGTTGAACTGTTTTAACTGGCATCGTGCAGGCTTCTGCTCATCTGTTATTCCTTTGTTCAGAATTTGCAGCTGTAGGTTGTCAAAGATCAGCTGTGCTTATCTGAGCTCAGCTCTGAAGTCCAACCCCTCCCATCTGACAGAACTGGGCCTGCTAGGAAATAACCTCAACAAGGCAGATGTTCAACAGCTGGAGGATCTTGTAACACGTCCAGACTACAGACTGGAGATTCTGTAAGTAGATGGTGAAAGTGAGTGAAGTTGCTGTAAGGTACTGAACCCAGTTGGTTTCAGAGCCAAGGTCCTTAGTTTCCTGTAAAGCTGCAGCTTCTCAGTTAGACAGCAATGGTGACAGGCTTCCTGATGGAACACAGTTGGTTTCCACTATAGAATGATGTGAAATCTGTGAAGGAAACTAACCTGTTGCCCAAAGTGTGCACAGGTGTGCAAGTTCATGGTGAAAGGAGACTGTCTCCAGCCCACAGCTGCCCTGAACAGGACTGAATTTCGTGCTGCTCTTTATTCTGGATGTGCTGCATCACTAACATCAGCTAATAAAGTGATACCACTGTTCTTTTTCTCTGCAGGTTGTGGGTGTCTCTTTAGAGACAAGAAGCTAAGCTGTTCTGATGATTCACAGAACTTAAGCAGCAGCAGTTTAAGTTCACGAAGATTTCGACAGGATCATAATGATGAAGTCTAATCCTATTTCTTCATGTCTGGTATAATTGGTATATCTTATTGTAGCTCCTTAGAAAAATGAAATTAATCTGCATTTAATAGCTATAGTTATTTGTTAAAATAAGTATCTGACCAAGGCATATAGTGTATAGTTTCTCCTCTTATTTATTTTAGAAATGTATGATCAAGTTAAATTCTGATGTATTCATGATGAATGTTTATTTCAGATGTTTGCTACAAATCTTTGCTTTGCTCTGGTTCTCAATTTATCAGTTTTTTTGGTGTTTCATTCACCATTCATTTTGGTGTTATTTGGAGGATCTTTTCTTAGCTTTCTGCAAAGATACTGACTTTGATAGTTTGGACTCTAATAATCTGTTTTAAATATCAGAAAGTGGATGAACATGTAGATGCTGTCCTGCAAGTCAATGAAAAAATAAGTTGGTTTTCCTTAGAAACAATTTACCAATCTGATTGTAAGATCAGATTATCTCTGTAAAGTGCATTGAGATGCAGTGTTGTTAATTAGTGCTATTGATATTAACTGAATAAAATTGATCCTGAATACTCATTATTATACTGACAGTTTCAGTAAAGACTGATTAGATTGTTCTCATTTCTGAAAGTATAAGTCACAGAGAAATGCATTTAAATAATGGCCTCCAGAGCTTTGACGATGTTTTCTTGCAAATAGACCTTGTACATCTGTTTTGTGGGAGCTTTATAAAAAGAAAGATAATTTAATTTACCTTGTATTGCTCGTCTTTTAATAATAAATCTTTCTCCAGCATTTGACAGATGGACCATCTTGATCTCTTGCATTTTTCCTGGTAAAAAAGTGTCCAAACTATTATATAGGTACACAGTCAGAATATGCCGGTTACCAGTTACATGGTATACCCCAGTATGAAAAACTCATGGTCTCAAAATAGTTGTTTTCTATTATACCATTCTTGTGGTTGTTGTGGAATTTTGCATTTGCCAAAGGAGAGACCAGTGGCGTTAGGTGCAGGAGTTTGCCCTGCATTTGAAGGGTTGTCAGTTCAAGCTCCGGCTTTCAGTGTCATTTTGTCCTTGGGCAAGACACTTCACCTTCATTGTCTAGTGGTGGCAGTCAGAGGGCCCAGTGGCGCAAGTGTGCAGCAGCCTGGCTTCTGTCAGTGAGCCCCAGGACAGCTGTGGCTACAAAGTATTTTGCCACCATCAGTGTGTGATTGTGTGTGTGAATGGGTGATTGGCTGGGTATAGTGTAAAGGGCATTGGTCAAGTCTCCTTGCTTGAAAAAGCTCTATATAAGTACAGGCAATTTAGCATAAGTACAGGCCACTGCTCAAAAAAACAGAAAAAATAATATTTGTCTTTGTAAATTTATTCAAAGGCATAAAGCATTTGAGGGCTCATCCTCAGCTGACACTGGAGAAGAATTAGATTGTAAATGTCCTCTGACTCCAAGTCTTAAATACAATTAGTAGGGATAGACTAAAAAAGATGCAAAATGGCAGCACGAACCACCTCTTAATGGTGCATTCAGAACAGATGCGGTGGCACTGTTGATTTCTGTGAGAATTGCATGGAGTTGACAGCCTTGCATTTCAGATGCAGTTTTTCCTACCCTGAATGGCGTCTTAAAATTGAAGGAGCTTCATCTGTGTGAAAAGACACCCCAACCACATGAAAAAACTGAGCAAATAGACATAATGATTATTGCTTCTTCAATGCAAGTTTGTGCAATTAAAATGGTAATGTGTGGAAATAAGGCTGCTTTTTCAGTGCTTCCTTATTTCTGCAGATAAAACTGTCATTTGTGTTGATTTGTTTTATCAGATGACATCACCATTCCAGCAGACTTTATTGCTGTGCTCATTTCCTGGTATAAAGTTATTGCATAAGATGACATGTCATTTCTGTGCTGGCATTGAATCTAACAGTGGGCATTTTTACCTTATTTAGTGGCTGGGATGATTGTTTAATATTTAGTAAAATCACCAGCCTGCAAGACCCTTAACTTTGGACTTGCTGTTACCCCTGTAAATCTCCCCCCTCAGAAAGTTAAGATGCTGGGCAGTGGGAAGTGACAGACTAGGCTCTGTGATAGAGGTAAAGCATGACGATTAACAGTCCTTCAAGGAGTAAATTAAAAGGTCTTTCTTTAAAGCCACTTAAAGACCTCTTACAGAGCATTCCTTATTACTACCTTTGTTAATATTTTCTCTCTGTATTCCACTTTAAGTGAAAAAAAGATGTCACGATTACAAAGAAAAGTTTCATTTTCAGTGATCACCACTCCTCTCTCTCCATTCAGTGCTGCTGTTCTCAGCTGTAGCTAGTAGCATCAGATTTCGGGAATGCAGAATGTACCAGACCAATGCCACTGTTTACATGGTTACGTTTGCAGTTGTTTTAGTTGCCTGCCTGAATTGTTCTATTCCATATTTAAGAGCTCTGATCATCAGGTTATCTCAGCTAGCATTGGGGAAGGGGAGCACTGATATTAAACCCCCACCTCGTCAAATGTGTGCTTTGACTGATCTTGATTCTGAAGAGCTGAAGTTTTTAACTGTATGAAACATCTTTTTGCATTGCTATTGATCTTTTTTTTTTAACTCAAAATGAGATTTGTTGCATTTAGGAGCTCAGGTTAATCATTTAACCTATACTTTGTAGACATGAAGGAGTCTATTTTCTGACTGATTTGACCTTTTTTCTTTCCAGGGAAACAACAAGAGTAACTGATAATGATAATTCAATTTCAATTCAATTCAGTTTATTTCTATAGCTCCAATTCAAATCACTTTACAGTTCAACCAGATCATCCAGTCAGATTGATTCAAAGTTTTCTATCTAAGGAAAACCAGCTGATTGCATCGACTCATTGACTCTTCAGCAATCCCTCATACTAAGCATGCTTGTAGCGACAGTGGAGAGGAAAAACTCCCTTTGAACAGGAAGAAACCTCCAGCAGAACCAGGCTCAGTGTGAGCGGCCATCTGCTGAGGCCCACTGGGGTTCAAGAAGATAGAAGCAGAGATGCAAAAAGCTACTATAAAAGGTGGCCCTGTCCAGGAAACCAGAGCTAAAAATAATGATGTTCTTTCTAAATTCTCAGCTAAAAATAATAATATTCTATTTAAATTCTCAGCAAATAGATCTTTTACAATGAAAACATCATCAAACAGTTAAACATATTTTGACCAACTGGAATGCAATTCCAGGGCTCTACTTCTTGGCAACAGATATTAGCTATCACTAATTTTTCCATGAAAATATTTAATGCCATGTATCATTTTATTCTCAGTACAGACACACCTGAATCCTGCTAATTTATCAGAACCTCTTACAACTGATCTTAATACAAATTAGTAGATACCATTACAAATATTTTTTCCTTTTTATTTCTCGATTGCATAAAAGTTTTTGTAGACAAGAAATACTTATTCCCATAACAAGCCAGGACCTTTCTCAAGCTTTATTTATAAAGTATTACAGTTTAACCAAAGAGTGTGTAATTTATTTTGATCCTGACTACTTTCCTGACTACTATGGCGGAACACTATCGCCATAGTGTTCCGCTTGATTTATGCATATAAATAACTTTATTATAATTATGTAAGGAGTTTTACAGATTATATGGACACTGCAATGGAAGTAGAACAGGGAAGGATAACAGATAAAAAGGAGAAAAGATGAAAGAAAGAGGAGATAAAAGGGATATAACGATAACACATTTTCAGTCTGCTTCATCAGAGATGTAATAGGGAACACCACAACCAACAGACATGGTGCGAGACATACAATAAAGTAACACCTGGATACTATCGCTGAAGTATAAGTAGTATTATTTAATCTGACATGTATTCTGTGTTACCTGAAGATAAGAATATGGGCTTTTCCGTATGGAAGTGAATCTCTAAGTACCTAGAACCAAGCACCTGTAGTTGTTTCTGAGAACACCTGAGGAAGGCCAACCTCTTAATTGTGTGGCTGAATTAGAGGTCCTATGTACACCCCACCCTGATCTAAAACATGAACCACTTTCAGATTCTGACCTAGAACTCTTTGTTGATGGTTCTGCTTCCAGACATCCTATAACAGGCAGTGATGGGCAGTAGCGCCGCTACATGTAGCGAAGCTATTAGTTTAACTACATTTTCGAGTAGCTTGACCGTAGCGTCGCTGCTTTATAAATCAAGTAACTTTCCTGTAGTGACGTTATTTTTTTGATCAAGTAGCGACGTAGCGTCCACAAACGCTACAACATCCAGGGCATAACTAAGAAATGAAACCAGGTTTTCTATTTTGAAACAACAATTGGAGTTATTCGTTGGACATTCATGCACGAGCCTCTATTCTGCCTCTCCTGTCTGAAACATGCACATGCGCGTGGTAGTGGAACTCATGGAACGACACACAGAGCCACACACCCACACAGCATGGAGGATGAGACAGGAGCAGAGCGAGAGGAGCAGCCAACTGTCCCTACCACACCGTGGCCTTATTTTCACAGATTTATGAAACTTGTTGAAACTTCTGATAAAAAGTACGTGTTCAGATGTCTGCTTTATAATCCCAAAACGAAACTGTTGTCAACGTCCTGGACATCGAACACCAACCTGAGAACTCACATTCAGGTGAATCACTCATTTCCCTCCTGCAGTATGCAAGTGAAAATGTCTAGCATCAGTGTAAATCCCAACTCACTTTAGCCAAATGCTGTATATAAATTAGCAAAACAAAAGCTACCTAGCTAACCAGCAAGCAGTGTGTGATGGAAAGGGACTAGCCAAGTGGCTAAGCAGAAGTGTTAAAAAAAAAGCTTATGCAGTTTTTAGAATTGTAAAATTCGATTAGCATGTTGTTTCATAATGTTCACTTATTCAAACATGAGTGATTTTCAAGGTTCTTGGCCATAGAGAGCTCATGTGGCCAAGACTAGCCATTTGTTTTACATAGCTAAACACTCATTAAAACGGTCAACTATAGTCAATTTAAAAAAAATAAAAATGAGAAAAATATATCAGCTTTAACTTTATTGGCACCTTTAATTTCCAGATAGTTAAATCTGAGTGCCACTAAGATATTCTCATTAGAGAGCAGTAGCCAAACTTAGATATTGTATTTTCATGGCCTAGTTTACCAGAGAGGATGATTATATGATTCTGTTTTAAGGCATATTTGCACAGATGAGATGTTTTATATAAGGAGGAACAGCTATGCCATATGTAAAAATAAATAAAAAAATAAAAAAATGCTCAATAATTAAATAAGAATTCAATTAATT